AAAACAGAACAGACACTTGACACTATCAAGCTTTCTTAAAAAAGAGAAAGAGTGTGTGTGGTGGTTGTATTAATGTGCTTATGACAAGTGTACAACTGGCCTATAATAAAGCACATCCCTGCAATTCTACTAGAAACAAGACAAGCAAAAAAACTACATTTTAAAGGTACAGAGGGCTTGGGGATATAGTTCAGTGTACAAGTGCCTGCCTGTCAAGTGCAAGGTCCTGAGTTTGATTCCCAGTACCAGAAAAATTAAAAAATGAAAAAATAAGGGCACAGAAACTGGGACAGGTGCATGTGATTGTAGTATTGGCTGCTTTCAGGATCAAATATTTCACAGAATAATGATACTGAAAAACTCATAGTGAGACTTTTTGTAATTAACAATGCTATTGTAACTAACAACCCTCAAATCAAATGTTGATGCCTTCAAGTACAATGGTGTGTTTCTTGATCACATCACATCCCTGTCTCATGCAGAGAGATGGAGGCCTTTGTTTCAAACAATGTTTTAAGGACTCAGCATGTTTCTATCTTACAATTCTATCATCACCTAGATTTTCTACCACATCCAGGGAAGGATAAAGGCAAAGAGAAAATGGAGAAGATCGTGCAGTAAGATTTTTAGGTCTGGAAATTCTCTGTCATCCCTACCAAACCCCATAGGCCAGAATCCAACCACATTCCCTTACCCAATTGCAGCTACATGCCCAGGAGGAAAAGATAGTATTGTCTTCACAGCTATCTCTGCTATGGCAGATGTCACCCCCAAAGCTTCATGTGGGCATAGAGGGAACTTTTTCAGAGGTAGCTGAATCTCGAGTGTGTGACTGATTCATGGTGCAACAGGATTAAGGCTGCTAAGTTAAGGGTGGGTGATTACTAAATCAGCCCATTATTTGGTCTGGCATCACCCTAATAGTAGTCTGGATACAATATAAGGGACAGAAAGAGGCTTGTCTTGCCGTTGGTTGTTTGCTTTTGCTGCCTTCTGCCTGCCATGAACTTTTTCTCCTCTGTGATGCTCCTCTGTCATGCCACCCTGCCTTGGAGCCAGCCAAGTACACACTGAAACCTCTACAAACTGTGAGCTAAGTAAACCTTTCCGCCCTTAACTTATGGGTGTTGGTATTTTGTTGCTCAGCAATGAGAAAGTAACTAACACACACTATTGTGACTTATTTAGATAGTAGGCTGATCTGAATTAATGAAATATTTATGTATTCATTCAGTTATTCTTTGAGAACATTTGCAATGAATTTAACTATCTACCACATACTTCTGGCACTAAAGGGGAAGACTTTACTATGTAAATCTCAGCTGTTTTCCCTTTCCTTTTTTTTCCCTTTCCTTATATTAGAACTGCCAGTGGTACCAAAAAATAGTATCTAGTGAGTAGATAACTATCAAGGTAGTATAAATAGACAAATACATTGGTCCTTAGTTCTGCAGTCTGCTGAGCTTCCTTATAAGAACCCTGAATAATTTCATGATTGCTACAGCCTGTATCTAGACGTCACCCTAAAACTCATGTGCTCATAGGAGGGGCTTTTGGGTCATGAGTGTGTGGCTCTGAATCACGGCTGCACGATACTGGATTAGGCAGCTGATAGGTTTACACCTGGGTGTGATGTTGAGAGGTGAATCCTGCTGGGAAGAGGTGGGTCACTGTGGGTGTGGCCTAGAGATAGATCTATAGATACACAGACCCCTCTTCCTCCCTTGATGGCACATTCTGTTTCCTGGTGGCCATGCCATGAACAAGTTTCCTTTGCCATGGCCCTCTGCCATGCCACCCCGCCTTGGCATTAGTCGACTATGGACTGAAACTTCTACAAACTATGAGGCAAAATAAACCTCTCCTCCTTTAACTTGTGGATATAGGGAATTTTGTCCTAATAAAGTAACTAAGACAATGATTAATCTCCTCAAAGTTTGCATTTTTAGAAGATGCACCCACATTTCAAAAATGCTGAAAAACTGTTTTTATCATGCAAAAAAAAAACAAGTGTTGGATTTCTTCAGTATTGTATGGCAGAGGTGGAAACAAGTCCAGATTTTGCCTAAGTATTTAGAGGTTTGGGCTTGCTCACAAAATCTTAGCATCATTAACAAAACTGCTCATTAACACTACACCCAAGTTGGGTACTCTTCCCTAAAAAACTGAAGCCTCAGACTCCTTTTCATGATCTAACATCCAAACTCTAAAATCTAAGCCATCAGGAAATATTTTTTCAAACGATCAAAGAAAGAGCTTTTATCACAGCTGCCAAAAGAAGGCTCTTGATTAAAAATCAACATGATTATTGCAAGCATGGGCTTGGGGCACTGGCCTGCAAAGCCCTTCGAGAATGCTTCTCAAGGGACAAACGCGGTCCAGAAAACACCAATTTAATTTTAACAAAATGAGATTGTCTGGGAGCATTTCACTATATTTAACGTAGGGGAGCAGTTTCCAAAAATGAGGCTTGGGTTTCTGGATATAATAATTAGGAAGCTGTCTGAGGGGTAAGATCCAAAGTGTAATTATTGCTAAATGGAGTGTTTTCCTGGGGGTGGAAATAAAGTCTTTACCACGGCTGCATGGGCCCAAATAGGCAGAGAAGGCCTACCAGAAATGTTGCTGTTGCTTTAATTCCTAGCATGTGAGGGTTGTTGTGTGCTGAGCTGTGTCTCCCTCCCCCAAACTCCTGTGTGGAAACACTAATCCTCGATGTGATCAGGGCCTTTAAAGAGGTAGTTAGGATTAAGCAGGGTCCTAAACATTGTTCTCCAACCAATTGGACCAGTGACCTTAGAAAAAGGAGTCATAAGGGATACATATGCACAGAAAAAAGACTTCATGAAGACACAGAGAGAAGGTAGTCATTGGCAAGTCAAAGAGGCCAATTCTGCCCACACCTTGAACTTGAACTTATATACTTCAGAACTATAAGAAATAAATCTCTGTCATTGAAGCCACTTAGTCTGTGGTGTTCTGTTATGGTAGTCCCACCATCTTACCATAAGAATGAATACATAAAAACTTGAACTATGTGAACACAGTCATCTACACAAATAGATACCAAATTCAGGTCAGCATGGAAAAGATCTAAGTCACAGGTTTGAGAACAAAGGGTAACATCAGGAAACAGTGGCCAAATGGAAATGTATTATCATATCCACAGACTAGTCAAAAGAAGAGTATCTGGAGTTCACAGGAGGGAAAAAATTTGAAAAACTAAGGTTTATACAGATCTCAGATACTATAGGGAGGCCAAGAAAGCTGTCAAGTCACGCTATTGTTGACTTCTAAACCATGAGTCTCAATTGCAGTCTCTGGGCACTGACCAAATAGGTAGGAAAATGGAACCAGACTGGACAGAGCTCCTAGGAGGCACAGTTATTGCCCTACGATTGTTTGAATATAAGTTGAGGGGCAGCAATTCTGACTCAAATCTAGAAATCAAAATAAAGCCCAAATAGTTCCCTAGGGAGAAAGGGAGCGACTCTGATTCAGCAACAAGGGTGAGCCAGGCTGAAATCAAGCAGCAGTAGACCGCAAGTCCTCTACGAAGTCAGGAACAACTGATGGACCCTAATAAATCATCCTGAGTGTCTAAAATGCTGGCGGCCACCAAGTGGCTCTCTACTTCTTTGTTCTTTTGTGTTGTCGCTAACGACTTTATCCTGGGAAACTTCAAGATTCCAGGTGAGAAGCAGATCTTAAATCCCCAGGAAAAATACCACCACCTCTTCCTCTTCCTCTTGCTTCTCCCCTGAGGACACTGAGCTAAGGCAAGACAGCTATTGGCCCAGAGGACACTTTTGCGGCATGCAGACAAAACCCCCTGCAAAGCGGCAGCCCTACATGGATGCCAGGCTTGGCCAGGGAAGCCCACGCTGGCTCACAGTCCTCACTAGCCCCACAGTCTGGCACGCTCGAGCAGGATGCAATCTGCACAACCATATGAGATACTCTGATGTAAATGCCAGAGCCCGTGAAGCCTTCTAAGCAGTGTGCAAAGACATAGGAAAACGTCGATGCTTTTACTATAACACAAGCTTGGTGGTTGCAAGAAGCACTCTGTGAGCCTTCATCCTGATTTGTCAGCTTCACAGGATTAATAAACACCTAGCAGAATAGTAAAACACACTCCTGGGTGTGTCTGCATGGGTCACAGAGACATGACCTTGCTACTATTTTAGGTCCCTCGCCTTTCTGCTCTAGCCCTCTTCGCAGGGCTTCCTTGAACTAAGCAGCTTTGCTCCACCACACCCTTGTGCCGTGATGTTCTTGCCTTGGGGCCAGCAGACCATGGACTGAAACCGTGAGCAAAATAACCTTTCCTCCTTTAAGGTGTGAATGTTGGGTACTGTGTCTTAGCAATAGGAAAGCTGATACTCCAAGTGCCTGGGACAAGAGGTGGGAGCAGCCCTTACAGCTGGCACAATATCACAAACCTACCCTTGAGACAAAGCAACTTAGCAGTTTACAACTAAAAATCAGAGAAATGCATTGCACGTGCTAAGAAATCTTCAAGAATGAGACAAACAATAAAAGGCCAGAGAAGGCTCCAGGGAGTAGAGTAAAGAGCCACTAACCACAAAAGCTTGAGATGAAAACTACAAAAGAGAAATTTATCTGCAAAGATGAAGTACAGTAGATTTCTGTGTGGAGACAAAACAAATTTGAAACTGAGGTGAGAGAGAGACAGAGAGAGAGAGAAAGAGACAGAGACAGAGACAGAGATCATAAAATCCTTGTCAGCACTAATGGACTCCAGTAGAAAGTGTGAAAAAAACGCTATCTATAGAATTCAGGTAAAGCCAGTAGAACAGTATCTGTTTAATGTGAAACATATTTAAGATGTATATTGCTCCATATACAGTGTGACTAGAAATGGTGGAGGCAGATATTTAAAAAAATAAATCAACAGTTCCTTCAGAAGCACAACCATCATAATGGAAAGAGAATCCTGCTCTGTGAACAGAAGTACTCAGATTCCAGCCAAGAATCTGAAGACAGATGTAGTAACTCACCCTACCCTTCCAGACCTACAAAGGATGGGCTTGAACTTGGGCCCAGTCTCAGCCTTTGAGGTGTGACCCAATGGCTTAACACTTTCCTTCAGAAAGTTAGACTGAAAAGCCCTCAGATTTCATCGACTTTATGCTAAGAGTCAGACTGTGAAAGCAGAGGTATATAGTTTAAATCTCTGTTCTGTTTCTAGAATGCTGTTGACCTACTAAGCCCTAATCCATTTAAAGACTCCAACCCTCCAACCAAATATTTGGCTATAAACCACTGAGCTTTTGCAGAAAGGCAACCTTCCTGGAGAAACACTGTCCTCTCAAAAGTCAGGACAGCCTGCAAGCTGTAGCACCATCCCAAGACCTGCCTGAGTCCCTTGGACCTAATGTAGCCATTGGAAAAATGCACCCAGAGAAAAGGCCCTGGCAGTCTCTGAGTTGGAGTAAGGGAGTTCTGGGGTCCCAGGTCCCTGTGGCAGACAGGTGACTTGAGCCATTCCCTTGGCACTGGGCAGAGCATCATTCATGGTTGGAGCAACTGGGAGGACATTAAAGGTCTCTCCGAAGGACTCGCAGCCTGGATCCTCTATTCCAGTCTGAGGGTGTTACTGCACCTTCCCAAAGTGGGGTCCAAGGTCACGGTGCATGTTAGGCACATCAGGGAGCATCTAAGGTGAAAATTTAATGGCCAGCAATGAATGAGCTGTGGGAAATCATCAACCAGAGAGGAAAGATAAATTTCACATCCATTCTTTAGCGTGAAAGGGAAACCAGCCTTTGTACAGTTCCTCAAATGGCACTCTGCCCCATACAGGCAGGAGCAGAGGGTAGACACAGAGGCAGTGCAGCCCCAGTTTGGTAGTAATCCCTAGCATAAAGAAAGACAGCTTGACCTGAGCAAGGTGAGTGGAGTTGTTTTGCTGAAAGTTACCATTTAAATGTGAACGTAATGGCCTAAAAGTAGCTCCACTGTTGTTGATTATTGTCAATAACAGAAACCACCTATTGAGCCTTTCAGACTTCTGAAAGGTACAGATGCATTTAGTCTTGCTCAGAAATGTCAAGTCATCTGCCTAACACCCTAGGACTAGGAAGCAGCGGGGTCAGGATTCAAATCCAAAAATAACTCTCCCCGCCACACTCCTTTCACCACCACCGCCACAACACCCCACCACCCGGCACCACCTAGAGAATTAAAGGCTGCCAGCCTCAGCTGTCTCAGGCGGACAACAGAGGAGGCGCAGCCGCACTGATCCTGAAAGGTAGCAATATTTCCTGTACTGTTCCCTGTACTTCAAAGGGTCCTGTCACCGAGGCATGATAGAACTTCATCACATAAGGCCTCGGAGGATTATTCTGTAGTCTCATTTCTCTGCTTCTTGAAATACATGCTTCTAGGTTCCAAAGACCATGTTTCACATTTTGTTATATCCTCCTCAGTAGCTAGCACCAAGCCTCACATGAAAGGAGCTCAAGAAATACTATTTGAATAAATGAATGATGTTCTAAAGAGAGGAAATAATGTAAGAACCAATTTGGAAGGATATAATGGTGCTGGCTATGGTGAGAAACATAAAAGCAATTTCATTCAATTCTAAGATGGAAAATAACACTGACATTCACTGTTGGGGGAATCCATGGTCTAATCTCCTTTAACGTCCCTAGCGCTTAATCTGTCACTCACCATACACAGATTTAGTACTTACTGCCAGGTATTCATTCTCAATTCTTTGAAGCATAAACTCAGCAGCATTGGATAATATAGCTGTGGAAATGCTTTGGGTTTCTTTGGGAGGAAAAAAATATATGCACTTTCATTATTTCTCAACACCATTGTAGATTTCCCTCCTCCTTCATAACATAAAAGCAGTAGCAAGGGGCCCATTCATAAATGCACACGAACTTCCCCTCCGAGGTTGCCTGATGGGAGCAAACAAGATGATATTTAAAAGGGGTCTCAGGTGTCCACGCAGCACAGCACTAAGACCTTTCCTTGTCCTCATCTCCTCTAGCATGTCTACTGCTCCTTTAGCCCTGAGGTCAATCTTCTGGGGAGCACAATGAGCCAGAGACTAACCTGTGCTTTGTGGAACCCTGAGCAGGCAGTGAAACAGATGGGGAGGTGTATCAGTCACCTTTTCTACTGCTGAGACAAAAATGCCCGACAAACAGAATTGGAAGGAGAAAAGGCTTATTTTGGTTCATGGTTACAGAGTTTTCAGTCAGTGGTTGGCTGGCTCCAAGAAACATCATGGTGGAAGGGTATGGCAGGGAAACTGCTCAACCCCTAGTAGCCAGGAAGCAGAGAGAGCAAGGGAGAGGCAAGGAAGACAGGGAAATATAATCCCTAAGACACACTCCCAGCCAGATATGCTCAGAAGAGTATTTACTAATCTCCTAGCCGTCTTTCAAGCCAATCATGTTGGCACTCAAGCTTCTCCATTGCATGAAGTGTAGTGGCCTGTCCAATCCAGGGGATAACACGGAGGCCTTGGACTCCTGAGGGAACAACGGGCCTTTTCTTCTCTACAATGTCAACATGGCAGGACATTCAGAAGAAACTCGCTCTCTACTCAGGTGAAGTAACATTGAAATACTGATGGAAGACACTTAAAATAATTTCATACACTCCTTGGGGGCTAAAGAGGCTCTGAGAGGGTCAGTCCTTCACTTGGCACACGGCCAAGAGTGCTGACTCTGAGTCAAACCTTGTGCCAGGGGATTGGGAATGGAAAGACAAGGACAGGATCTTGTCTGCCCTTGTGGGCCCCTCCACAGTCTAGGAAACAAATGACGATGGGAGTAACAGCAGGGGAGGAAGAAGGAGTTGTAGAATTGTTCACCCTTACTGAGTGGTCATTGTGTGCCCCACGCTGTCATTGGTGCCTTTACACAGGTCAGTTCATGTAAGTCTGAAGATGGACCCTATGTGGGAAAGTGCTACCATGACATACTTGAGGCTACTGGCACTCAGAAAAGGTGCTGTGGGAAGCCAAAGAAATCCCCTGTGACATCTTTCACTCATTTTCTTAAGAGATTACCAATAGCAGTTGTTACCAAAGGGCTAAGAGAAGGTTGTGGGAGGAAAACTGAAGATGAGAAAGGTCTTCCAAGATTCCTAGCAAATCTCCCCACGTCTCAAAGAAAAAGCCTGAGATTGCCTGATGTCAGTGTTAGATACACATCTGGCACCAGGAGTGTGCACTTGTGGAAACACTGCCCCTGCAAATCCAGGCCAACAACTCCTCCTCTGTTCACCCCCACACTGCCACACCTCCAGGGTTGAACAGAAAGGACTCTAGCACCCCAGTCCTCCCAGGGCACCCAGCTCCACATGACTTCCCTCTGCAGGCACACAAGGCTTGCTTATAGACCAGATCAAGCAGCTCGTTTTCTATTCCAACTCCTCCACTCAGAATTTGAAGTAATTCTGACAAATAAGAGAATCATATTTTCATCTATCATGTAGACCTCGTAATGAAAATGTATACTGGATAGAAGTGTTTCCAAGAATTCCTACACTTTAAAAACACAAATTCCATCTGAATTAACATGCCAAGCATAAATCTTGTCTGATTTATTCAGTAAATGTTTACTACTTTTTCTTATCAGTCTTTGTTTTTTCTTATTTGTGTTGGCATTTAAGCATAGGCTTTCTTGTATTTAAACAGTTTCACATAAATCACCTTTTCCCCCCTCCTCGACTGTAATCATCTGGAGAGTTAGGTCTCTACCACTGATCCTAAACCCTCCATATGCATAAGAACCATCAGAAGAGCCTATGAAATTTACCAAACCTAGCCCAATCCTGAGCGTTTTATTTACATTGATTTTAGATCGTTCATAATGCTTTCCAGAGCTTTGATCTACTTCTCTCACACATGGCAGCACAGTGCAAATACCGGGGAACAGTGGTCACCCTGCAGAGTTCCTGGTTTAATTGAGCCAAGTGCTATTTTCTTGGAACTGACTGTGGTCGTCACTGACCAGAGCACCACCTCCATCGATCTGGCTGTGGCTGCATCTCAAGATCTTCCTGAAATGTCCCAGGTGACTCCACTGTGACATCAAGACTGAGGGTGTCCTATGTCTTGGGACTATGTCCTATGTGTTGTCCTATGAGGGATGTCTCATAGGATCTAGTCCAGCCAGTGCGTAGACTGGGCTTTCATAAGTTTTCTATAATATGAGAAAACGTTCATGGAAAGTAGTCTAAACTCCATTTCTACAACTCCCCACAAATTAATCAGGACCAATGAAGTTTAGTTATATGCTAAAGTTACTAAGTTCAGATTCCCATAGTGCTGTAAGCTGATGATGTTAGGAAGTATTTCTTTCCTTACCAGGTAATTTCTTTACAATTAAGATGAACTGAGGAACATTCAGGTCTCCATATTTAGCATCAAGGGTCCAGAGGCTACATCAACATTCACCCAATAAATCAGTACACTTAAAATACAATGTTCCAAGGCCACCAAGAGATAGCCTGTCTGTGTCTTCTTTTTAAAACTACACTCAGACTTGTTACTAAAAAACAAATTGATCTCAGCATCTGAGACTGAACAGTTTTATCAGCACAGAACAGGCATCTCGGATTGCAAACACTTCGCACTTCACCCCTCTCCTTCCACGATGTCTGAGTATTTCCTTCACTTCCGGTTCTGACAACTCACCAGTTCCCACTGCAGGGCTTGCTGAGAGGGACCGGAAGTCTGGGGATGGGACATGAGCTGGAGGTGGGGGCACTCTTCACTCTCACTTCACTCTCAGCCTAATGCGAGCAAGGCTGAGGGCTTCACTCACCTTTGCATCCCCTCAGGACTTCACAGAGGCCTTCCACAAAAAACTTTGCAACAGATATTTGTGTTCACTATCTCTAATGCCTTGAAGCGAATCACATACACAAGTATGCTATGTGTGCATGCACACACTCCATCCACAACCCTTTAGAAGATCCCCTTGAAAACATCCACAGTTTTTCTCTACTCGTTGGGCAAAGGACCTTGCCTGCATGTTAAACTCGAAGTGCACAGTTTTGTGTCTGTGTCACCCATGCTTCCTGTTGTAGCCGGAAGGTTCTCCTGGTTTGCCCTCTGTGTTCCTCTGGGTTATCGCTGACATCTGGTCACTCCACTCAGCAGCGGTGCTGAGTCAGTTAATTACTTTTGCAACTGAAGTGGATTCTGTTACTTTGTACAGTCGATGCTCCCAAAGGCTTTAGGACAGTTAAATTTTACTCATGCCTTTGTCAATATATTTCACACACACCCAGTGCCTTGGATACGGGGGTGTTTGTAAGTGTGAGCTTGAGACTGCCACTCTGCTTCTGAGGACAGCTTCCTGCCTTTCTTCGTATCTTCCAATTCCATTTCCAAGTGGTATCATTCATTTACCTCCTTTCTGCAGACTTTTTCTCTGTTTTGCTCTTTCCTTAGCTTTTTTCCTGTTTCCCCCCTCTCTTCTTTCTTATTCTTTTGATTTCGTAGCTCTACAGAAGCGCAGCTTGCCCATTCCTTTGCGGTCTTCTTCTTGAAAAAGTTATTCTTTTATTTACCTCTATATGCTAGTGTCCTAAGTGAGAAACCACTACAGGTTTTTTTCTTTTTCTGGACACAGAGAATTTCAAATAGCTGTCACTAGAGCCAACTAGCCATGCGACCACCTCTAAATTCAATTTCCAGTTCAGTGATGAAATTTCTTTTGCTTTCAGGTTCTCACACTCTACATACTGCCTTCTTCTATCACCAAAAAATCCTACTCTTTCCTTTGTCCTCACGTCAACTTTTTTTGCTGTTGTTGTTGTTTTTGTTTTTCTTCTGGTACCAGGAATCGCACTTACAACCTTGCGCTTGCCAGGCAGGCGCTGTGCTGCTGAGCTAAATCCCCAGCCCTGTCCTCACATCAACTTTTAAAAGGCCTGGAACCAACCAACATTTCTACATACATGTTTCCCTTAGTTTTAAAAATCTAGTTTCTCAGATTTGTATGAGTTTTTGCACTTCTTGTATTTATTATATATTTTTAGAAAACATCAATAGCATTTTAAACCAAAGTCTAGCTCCACCAAAAGTTAAATATTATTCAATTCATGAAAAAGATTTATTTTTAAGAATAAACACAAAACACAAAAACCATCTAATTAGGAAATAAAAATCAAGACGGTGTAGCTCCCTTTGTTGCTTCTATGTGCAGGAAACCATTTGAGCTCAATTAAGCACACAACATAATTCATTAGAAGAATACAGAAGTCTCTTGCACACCTCAAAGGTTTAGTTGGGCTGAGTCTTAGGTGCTCATTAAAAGTGGGGACTAAACTACTCCAGGAATAACTGAGACATCTTTCCCTCTGTTGCTTGTGTCTGTTTCTCTCCATTCTTCTATTTCTGCAGAAATACTTTCAGTTTCTCTAGTTTCACAGTAGAAAATGGCCGTACCTGAAAGACATACTAGGAATCTGCAATAATCAATTACAAAGTCCCAAGTGCAGAAACTCACTGGAATATCTTAGCGCAGAGAAGCCCAGTCCTGTCTAATCAGTCACTGCTAAAAAGCTGCATTACCTGTGAAATTGTTGTTCCCATACTCACCACAAGGCTAGTGTTATGGCTTGTGTCTAAATATCCCCCAGAGCCTCATGCGGTCATTAGTGGGACTTTTCAGAGGTAGCTGTATGTAGAGTGTGTGATGCTGGGGTTCATTGTGTGACACTGGGATTAAGGGTATGTGATTACTAAATTAGTCCACTGATTGGTTTGGCATAGCTCTGGGTGTGGGTAATGGGAAGGCCCAGCCTGGGTGTGAGTGCTACCCGCCCTAAGAACCAGTAGCCTGGATGGAATATAAGAGACAGAAAGAGTACTGTTACTACTGCCTGCTGCTTCTTCACTACTTTGCTACCATCTGCCAACCATGAACAGTTTCTCCTCTGTGACACCCCTCTGCCATGCCACCCTGCCTTGGAGCCAGCCAGGTATCAACTAAAACCTCTACAAATTGTAAGCTATAACAAACCTTTCCTCCTATAACTTTGAGCATCAGGTATTTTGTCTTAGCAACAAGAAAAGTAACTAAGACAGTTAGGGTATCAGAAAAGAGAAAGTGCATTAAGTTTGGAAGATAACTCACTACAAATGCAATGCAAATGTTATTTTGGCCAGTCACATTTTTCCATTTGAATACACAAGCAAGCTCTCATTTAACCAAGAATTTTAACTCTCCCAGTTGGGATGGCTGTAAATCTTAAACTTTCCAACTCCTCTGAGACAGATGGGACACACAAATTAGGAGAAAAACTCAGATTGCCGAACCAGAAAATGTAAGGTTTCTAGGGATTTTAATTCAAATATGAGCAACTGCGTGCATTTCATATTATGCAACGAAAGTTATGAAGCATTTCACTTTAATTAATAGAGCATTAAAACTATTGCTGAAATTATTAAGCATGAAATTCAAGCACACAACACAGAATTTCCTCCAAGTCAAATTATCATATGGCCATAGGACCCTATTCTGAAATAGTATGATAAATCACAGGCATTTAGAAAGCACTGGATCTTAGATTCACGTAAATAATACATTAGTACCTTCAAAGGTCAGGTATCTAGAGCACATACCACTCAGGAAAAATTATAAAATGTCACACAATACTGATGTCTGAGACATGGTTATAGGACACCATAACCCTTCAGTGATAACAACACAATCTCTAAACTAAAGTTGTTATTACTTTTTCATCAGAAGTGCCTTTTACTAAACAAAAACATAGTTGTAGTAATCATCAGTTCAAAAGAAATCTTCCTTAAGGAAGTGGCAGTGATCTCTGTCTGGGAGATACATCACCATTACAAAAGCCCTACATAATTGAGTAGCCTGGTACAGCACCAATGCTGTGTTGGCACTACATCTGTCTTCCAGCTCTAGATTTTATAATTCAGAACTTCTGCTTGGGTTACACCAGGGATAATGTGGACATCTCCATAACCAGTCTTTTTTTATGTTTGCAGTAATATGATGTCTTTTTAAAGTACATGCTTGGGGCTGGGGATTTAGCTCAGCGGCAAAGCGCCTGCCTGGCAAGTGCAAGGTCGTGAGTTCGGTTCCCGGTACTGGAGAAAAACCAAAAAAAAAAAAAAAAAAGTACATGCTTATAGTACATAATGTTTACATTCTTTGCATGGAGTTGGTATACGTACACAACACACCTTAATTCCTTTTTTCATCCCCTTTCTTCTCCCTCTCCCTACTCCATCCATGGGTTTCCCCTCACTTGAGAAAGATGTATCTGCTTACTTCCTCTTACTTATCTAGTTTGCTTTTTATTCATAATATGGGCTGTGATATGATGTCTTTAGCATTCAGAGAGATACCTCTTACACCCTTCTATGCCTTTGGGGACCCAATCACTTCAGAATTACCCTCATAAACATCTAGGACCACAAGAAACTTCCCACCCATGCACTGAACGAAAGGAAAGACTTGGAACTATGGAGGGCAAGCTTGCTTCTTGCACGGAGCCAGCTCTTCCAAACTTCGTGCCACTGCCAGCCTCCCCTTCTTTTGCCAAGTCATACATGCCTTAGTGCCCAGCTCTTCCCACTCCGTGCCTCTCTCCCGGCCTAACCAGAGTTTTCATCATTTTGTTGCTGACTGTTTCAGAGCTGCCTCCTAAGTTCCTGAATGAAAGCTTGAGCCATGGAGAAAAATCTGCACTTGGTTCTCAAGGCCCCTTGAATTTAACACACCAAAAATCCTAGCCATCCTCTCCTGCTCTTCCTGGAAAATCTGTGCTCCCTTCATTAATGAAATGCACCATCATCTTCTTCAGGGCCCAAGCCAGAAACCTGAGTCTACCTTGATTGCTCTCTCTCCCTCACCATTGATGACCAATTACTCACCAAATCATGCTGAGTTGATCTCCTAATTATATCTCAAGTCTCAGTCTTCTCTCCCTTCCTACAGCTACTTCCTTGTAGTCTGATGTCTTCTGAAAAAAATTTAACAACTTCCAAGAATGTGTCCCTGCTTCAAACACTGCCAACTCCCAAGGTATTCTCCACACAGTTACCAATCACAGTGACTGTCCCAAGGTATAAAAGTGGTTATGTCTTTCCCTGAATAAAACCTGACAGTCACCCTCCATTGCTCTCAAAAGAAAATAAATCTGTGCAAAAGTGGTTCTCAACCAGGGGTCATTTCACTTCTTAAAGGGCACCTGGCAATGTCCAAAGACATTCTTAGTTACCAAAACTGGAAGAATGGGAGTTGCTACTGACATCTAGGACAGAGGCCAGGGACGCCACTAAATGTCCTACAGTGCAGTCCGTCCCCACCTCAAGAAAGATTTATTCAGCCCAAAACAGCAACAGTGTTGAGGCTGAGAAATCCAAAAGGCACAGCAGGCCACAACTAATATTTCTATGTTTTCTCTTTTGTTTTTGTTGTTGTTTTGTTTGACTTCTTTGCTTTTGCTTCTTTCAGTTTTGATTTGTTTGTTTGCTTGTTTTTTGCATCCTTGGGATTGAACCCAAGGCCTCTGCCACATCCCTTTGTATTTTTCACTTTTTATTGTGAGACAGGTTCTCATTAAATCTCTAAATTGCCCAGGTTGGGCTCAAATTTGTGCTTCTCTTGCTTCAGCCTCCCAGAGTCCTGGAATTACAGGCATGAGCCACCACACCCAGCTCTAACCTTTCTACCTTTTTATCATTCCTCCCTTCTACACCTCTGCCTTCACCAAAACTCAATGAGCCGATCAGATTAACCTCCTTCTCATAGACATCGTGTTCTTCTCTCAGTCTCACCACTCATTCATCCTGGATTACTGTTCTTACTATCTGCCTGCTTTCTTTACCTGACTAGCTCAACCTTCCTTAAGTTTTCAGCTCAGACGTCACTAACTCTGGGAAACCGCCCCTGCCTCCCATGGATTAGATGTTCCACTAGCTAATTAGCTCCCTGCTCTTCCCCTGTCATCACACTGTTTCATAATTACCTATTGACTTATCAGTAGCTCCCCAGACTAAAATTAAAAGACCATGACTATCTTGTCCTCTCTTTAATTCCCAGCATCCAGCAGAAAGCCATGCACAGAGATTCTCATTGCATTCTTGTTAAATGAATGAATGATTTGAAGACAGCATCATGGGGTAGCCATTGAACCACCAACAGTCCTCATTGAGCACATCTTTTATCAGCAATCTTGAATGCTAGACTGCACTTCTAAGCCTCAGAAGCAAGTAAGCTTGGGCAAGCTGAAGAACACGACAGAGATGTCCTGCGACATCCATCAAGAAGCAAGGGGCTGGTGAAAATTATGCTGGTGAGTAAAACTCTTTGCACTCAGGCACATCCTGGGAACCCAGTCATTTGGCTTCAGTAGAAATTAGGCAACAGCAAAATAGAATGTTAGCAAATTATAAATACTCCATCAGTTACTGTTCCAAGTTATTGTTCAGATAAAAACAAAACAGGGAAAATGTCAGATCTGGTCAAAATTAAATGAGGTGAAATGAAAGAAGAAGAATAAGTGGACACTACTTTCCACCCATGGATATGAATAACAGGTGTTGGCTTGTTGAGTAAGTGGGAAAGAAAAGGACATGCATAACTTCCTGGGGTTGCGATTGCTTGTAGTGTGCTTCCCAGAAAAGCAGCATCACTAACACCCACAAACATGAGAGAAATGCAGATTCGTGGCCCCATCTCAGACACAGTCCAGCAATCTGAGTTTTCCACGTCTTCCAGGCGATTTTTCTACTGGCAAAGTGTGGGAAGAGCTGCTCTCACTCATCAGACAACTAGAGCAACACCCCATGTGCATAATAATAACTTGTACAGGACACTCTATGTGTCAAACTCCATTCCCATTTGTTTATACATCAATTCACACAATGACATTCTCACTTTACAGATGTGGAAATACACAGACAATGTCACTATGCCTCAACAAATTACTGAAGCCCCTCCTTTCCCATGAAGGCAAGTTACTCCTTAGGACTCCCTGCAAAACCTTCTTCCCTCTTACCCACCTCAGTTAATGGCGTCTCTGTTCTCCACTCCATAGTCATTTGGGATTCCCTGATCCCTTCAACTTAACACCCAACCAAGTCCAGATTTCCCCTGTAGAACTCATCCCTGTGACATAATTCCTTAGACCACTAGCTCTCAGTGTCTTCCTAGAGAAACACATGGTCAAAAGTGCTTTTGTAACAAAACTAAGAGATATTTTTAAAAATTCTATTGACATCTTCACCAGAAGCAAAGATAGGAGAAAGTGCCAGCACCTGAGCACGAATTAAGACAGTGGCTCCAGACTTACTGGTAGTCACTGTGTTCTTCACTGGCATGAACTCCCAATAAAATAATGCCAGTTTCAAATAACAATGTGTATGGTGGAGTAAGAATTAGGAATTTTGTAAGGCCTTCCGTACACATGCTTTTAGTATCCTGTGTGATGAGAAAGGAAAAGGTATAAAGCACTTTCACTCCATGCATAAGTACCATGGTCACAAAGAAATGCTCTTGTGTAATTGTTTTAGTCATGAGTTCAACTAGTTGGTTTTTGTTGAGCACATTTTTTACTTGAAAAGAAAACTAACAAAGTAAAGTTATTTAGATTTGGGAATCTGTAGAAAAGGAATGAAATAATCCTATCACTTTAGAAAAAAAAAAAAACAGTATTTGAGGTTAGTGACAAAAACCTTGTTTATAAGTGAAAGTTAGAATTTTATAAAGCCCATATCTATCAACATGAGCTTGGCAACTCCTTGGAACTTAATTTTTTTATGAGTTACTGGAGTGGCTGATGTTAACAAAGTATGATTTTTTTGGATACCATATAAGGAAATGTGTGAACAATCAAAAGGTCTGCATTACCCCACTGAACTGGTATTTTCAAATGACAAAGGCAAGATGCTACCAAATCATGCATGGATGAGAAATTCAAAGTGCAAGCTGGACCAATGGATTTGAAGGTAACAGAATATGAAAAGTTCACTGATTCAGTTTTAGATTTCACATAGCAACTAACCTTTAAAAAACTACCAATTGGAGTTTGGCTGTAGTAACAAAGCGGTGTCCACATAATCTGAAAAGTCTACTCAAATGCTCCTCCTTGTTCCAGCTACATATCTGCATGAAGCTGAATTCTCTGGTTGAAATCAACTTCAACCATCACAACATGTTGCAACAGATTGAATGCAGAAGCAATATGAGAATCCAACTGTCTTCTATGAAACAAGCTACCTCAGGGACATTTGCAAAAGTGTTTTAAATGCTGCCATTCTGATTCATTATTTTTATTTTGGAAAATGTAATTATTTCTCATTTTCGCTACTTTTGTTTACATGAGATGAGTTCATTATTATTTTTAAACAAAATGAGAAATATTTAAAATCTGTCCAATTTTACTTTCTAAAACTATAAGCATGAATAGATAGGACTGAAATAAAGGACTTTTTAGGTTTGCAGTAGCTTTTTTTTAAGAGTGTAAAGAAAGCCTAGTGGTGCAAGTGCCTGCCTGGAAAGCTCAAGGTCCTAAGTTTGATTCCCAATATAAAAAAAGAAAAAGGGAGACAGGAAGAGAAAGCCTAACACACAGGCTTGAGAACCAGTGATACTAATCCATAGATCCTCTGCCATATACAGATTCTCAAGCTCCTATTCAGTATCTCAGACAACTTCTCCAAAACTCTTCTCTGGTTTACAGGAAACAAACTTTAGTACTTTGTTGCTCAGAAATCCTTTATATGTAACTAGTTTGGATTTCTACATCTTTACAAGTCCAGCTTTGAGGATGACTGACCTGTGACATGACCCATTTGACTCTGGGAAAGCTCGTTGCTCTAACCCTTACAATCTTCATTGGAAAAGCAGAGTTACTCATAATGTCTACTTCAGCAGGTCTGTTGGGAGTACTTTGTGTCCCCCCAAACTCGTATGTCAAGAGTCCTAAACTCCAGTGGCTATATTGGGAGTAAGGAAGAAATTAAAATTAAAGTCACAAATGTAGCCCTCTTATCTAATGGGACTAGAGTCCTTATTAGAAGAGGAACCAGAGGACTGTCTCTTTCTCCACCATGAGAACATAGCCATCCATAAGTCAGCAGCAGAACTGTCACCAGTAACTGAACTGTCCAGAGCCTTAATCTTGAATTTTCCACCTTCCAGAAAGGCAAGATAATAAATCTCTCTTGTGGGGGCCATGTAGACTTTGGTGTCTTGTTACAGCTGCCCAGACAGATTACTACAAATTCTGGTACCAAGAAGAGGGTGCTGCTTCAACAAATACCTAAAAATGTGGAAGTTGCTTTTGGAACTGGGTGAAAAGTAGAGACTGGAGGACTCATGGTGTCTCTACTAGAAAAAGCCTAGATTTCTGTGAATTAACTCTTAGTAGGAATATAGAAATTAAAGGTGAGGACCCAAGAGGAAAAAGAGAAGGCTTGAGAGAAGTCTTCCATCTTCTTAGAGGACACATAAACAATCATAAACCGACCATGGGTGGGATTACAGACATGGAAGGCCATACTGCTGAGGTCTTGGATGGGAAGGCGGAATGTGTCACTGGAAACTGGAAGAAAGTTAGGTCTTTTTATTAATCGTTTAACTGTGTTCTAGTGTTTGGTGGAAGGTAGGACTTCTAAGCAGTGAAATTAAATGCTTAACTGGGGAGATGTGCAAGTAAAGTAATGAAGGAACGGTTTGCTTTGCCTGCTTGCTTATTATAAAATGTTCTTGAGAGGACAGAGAGAAACTGAAGTTGGACTTGTTAAACAGAAATGAACAAGAAATGAAAGATTTGAAATGTTCTCTACCTGTGCATATTACAAAAACTGCCACATTCCATTGGGAAGAGAATGCAAGCGTGCAGCTGGACTACAGCTTTATGAGAAGTTTATGGTGTTATATGGGCAGAAATGCTACCAGTTTGAACCAAAAGGATGGAGTTAGGACCAAATACAGGCTGTCAGATTCTACGACCGTACAGCTAGATGCCAGAACATCAAACCAAAGAGGAGAGCTAGTAGAATTTGCCTTGGTAGGTTTTGCACTTTCTCAGGACCTCTCTCTCCTTTTTTCTCTTCAGTTTCTGCTCTTAGGAATGGGAATATCTTTCCTGTGCCTGTCTCACCATTGTACTTTGGAAGCACATAACTCATTGGGTTTCAGGTCCACAGCTATAGAGGAATTTTGCCTCAAGATTAACTGTATACTGAGTTTTACTCAATCTAATCTAGGTAATAATTAGAAAAGACTTTGGCTATTAACTTTAGAGTTGCTGCTAGCATGAGTTCAGATTTCTACTACTGTTGACATTAACTAAATGTGCTTTTGTGCACAAGGACATGAATTTGGAGGTCAGGTATGGAACTGAACGTGTATATCCCCTAATTTATGCATTGATGCCATCATTTTCAGTATGGCTATATTTGGAACTCAGAAATAATTTTAAATGAGGTCTTAAGTGTGGGGTCCTAATGTAGTTGGATTAGTGCCTCTATAGAAAGAGACTTCAGAGAGAACTCATTCTCTCTTTCTACCATGTGAGAATACTTCACAAAAATAGCCAGGAAAAGAGCTCTTGACTTGGACCTGTAAACTCCAGAAGTGTGAGAAAATAAATTCTTGTTGTTTATGCCACCCAGTCTGTGGTATTATGTCATTGTAACCTAGTAAGCAGACTAAGACAGAGAATTAATAAGTAAGATGTTGTTCTAATCAGCTTTTGCTTCACTGACACAATATGCGACAAACACAACTCATAGGAGGTGAGGTTTAACTTGGCTCACGGTTTCATGGGGTTCAGTCCATGGTCACCTGGTTCACAGTGGCCGGGAAGCAGAGCAGGGGAACAGTGCCAGAGAGGAAGGGGCCAGAGACCACGCCTGTCTCCATGGCTTACCCAGATACACCCAAAAACGTACTTTACTGATCCTCTAGGTGGCTCCCAAGCCAATCAAGTTGACGGTTACTTTTAACTGTCACAGATGGACCAAATATTTAGCACAGTTCCTGGTATATAGCAAGCACAATAAATATTCTGCTATTAGTATTATTAACACAATAAATACTTATGGAGTGTCTGATAATTACCAAGGCTCTTACCACCAGGGAGCTTACAGTCTAGGGTGGTGGAAGTTTAATCATATAATTGTTCAAATCGGTACATAACCATGATTGTGTCAAATGGTTTTGAGAAAATCCATGACGTTAAGAGAAGATAAAATATAAGGGAGACCTAAAGTAAAGTATGCATATGCTAATTAGCTCAGCATAGCCATTGCACAATGTATGCATACTTCAAAGCAATGTATTGTACACAAGAAATACATACAGTTTTATTTGCAATTAAAATTGAATAAATAATGTTTTCAAGAAAAGGAAGAGCTTAATGTAGGCTGGGTATGGAGTTGGTTTACATTTAAGAAAGACTTCCTTGAGAAAGTAGCATTAATGGTATCACCTAAAGATGAACAGATGTGGTTCATGGCTAGACGCCTAAGGAAAAATGGCATCTCTTCCTTGTGGACACTACGAGGTAGTAGAATCAGCTAGTTTTATTATTGGATATTTTTCTACCTAATTTAAGTTACATTCAAAAACATAAAAGCTTGCTTTTAGTTTTTATATGGCACTTCTAAACTTAATGTTTATTCTGGCTTTCATATGAATATCCCATGCCTGGTGCTTGTTGAGAATTACTAAGAGAAGTAGAATTACCTTCTGGGAAAATTGAAAAATGACCTTTACAGGCAAAAAGCAGAAGATAAAAGGATCAATAAGCAAAAGTCCCCAGTTTCCCAATTCACCTGACTAATGTTACAATCAGAAAAAGAAATTAATGCATAAGGCCAGACTCTTCCGAGAAGCAAAGGCTAGTAGGTGAGAACAAGGGCACAGAGGGGTCTATGAAAGTAGATTCCAGTCCCACTGCTAAGTGATTTTTCCTGATCAAAGAGAAGGAGCAATGAAAAGCTTTGAAAAATGATCCACAGGCTGAGAAGTACACAGCTACAAATATCCCAGCTAAGGCAGTGCATTTTAATGATCTCCCCTCAGAAGCACAACATCCTCTCCCCAAAACACAGACCCTAAGAGCAAGCAAAGGCCCCAGCAGCAATCCAAAAGAAGGATAAAAATGAGCTGCATATTTATGTTGGCAGGGACAGTGGAGGGGACCTGCGAGGCTGTGTGAAGATAATCAAATATTAAAGTGTGTCTCTCTTTACCTTTTCCTTTAGCATTCCCATACTTGCTCTGTGAGGACTCCTCAAAAATTCTTTTTGCAAGTCGAGTAGAAGATCTTGGTACATCATGATGGTAGCTGAATGGAAGTAACTTGTAGCTGGTAGCCAGCAGAGCCTAGTACCAATCTCCATTCATAACTGTGAGCAGAATTTGTCAGGGTGTAATGCCCAAGAGTCCCCATCCCTCACTTGGGGATGGTGGCCTTTGAAGAAAATTACTTCATTTGTAAAGAAGCTCTGACTTTTTAGAAGTATTAATACAGTCAATAAAATCCCACATTTTGCAGCAGTATTATATTAGCTTCTTTAATTATACAATGGTCACAGCTGGAATGTAATATACACAGATGCAGGGGATCTTTTCCATTCTGGAGATCTAGAGAAAGTTTTTGAGCTGTCTGAGAAAGTGGCCAGTGTGAGGTATAAACAAGGTTCCCTCACTCTTCCATTCTTGGTCCCCCAAGTGTGTTTCTCCAAGGGCTCCTGCACTTACCTGCTTTAAATCTCCTCACCACACTGGCCCCTCTACTCTGAGAAATCACCTTCTCCCCTCTGTCAGGACAAGTGAGTCACCATTTTGACTATTCTCAATTTTCTGACTTCTTCAGCACACATACTGACAAGCAGCTCTGCCCTTCACTGCTCCCCTCCCCAGCACAGAAGCACCCGTTCACTGGTCCAGTTTAACCTAACATCCCCTGTGCCTGCATCTCAGCTTCTGCCGCTCCCCTAGCTCCCCTCTCTCCCTTCTCTCTTCAACTTCTCGAGGCCAAAGGTCTCCTCTGTGAGGACAGCCATGCGCAAATGCCCTGTTCCACGCCTCCTCACATTTAGCTAGGACTTCCTCCCCGCTCACCTCATTTTTGAGCAGCCAGTCTTCTTGAAAGGATAATCCACACCAGTGGTTCTCAAATTATGATGTGCAAATTGACCACCTGAGGATCCCAGTGAAATGCAGGAGCTGGTTCAAGTAAAGCTGGAGTGGGCCAGAGTTTGCAAATTTCTAACAGGCCCCCAGGAGACACTGATGCTGCTGCTATGCCAACTACACTTTGAGAAGTTTCTATACTCTAATTTCACTTTCTCTACTTAGGCTACTAAAACCATCAGTTTTTAAGTGGGTTTCTGGGGATGGGAGTATAAATATCAAATAAATAAAATACACCCTTCCTGATCTTCTCATATGTCCATAACAAGGATGCCAACGAGCATTTCAGTCCCAGGATTTGGGCTGGGTGGATAACAAGCTTCATGCCACAAAGAGGAGACCACGGTGCATAAACAGATACTCCAAAAACCCAACAACTAAAGTTTCCTTAACAGATGATGTAACCATTGTTTTGCGAATCTGATCAACCCAGGTTGCTAAAATTCTGGATGCCCTACTGGGTCATAGGCAAGAACCATTTCTGTGTATTTCTGGGAAGTTCTGATATTTCTCAGAAATTTCTCAGAAAATATCTCACTAAATCATTTTATTTGTGTTTGCTTCTAGGTTTTTTTTTAATATTGTTTTATTTTGTTTTGCTTGTCTTGTTTTATTTTTCAATATAGTGTACACCAATCCTTCCAGCATCTGGTCATATATCCCAAAGCTGCAAGAAGAAAATATTAAGCATCTCAAAGCTGCCAGAAGGCAACTAGGCTGGAAGGCTGGGGTCCCCACGCACTTTTCTAACAATTTTGCACTGCCATGTAAAAGTCCTTCGTTGCCTTCTTGGAGCCTGCCTCTAATCCTACTCGATAAAACAGTCCCCGAGTCCTGTCAGCCTGTTACAGAACACTTCTAGACAAACTGCCTTATTGGTGAAATGCCACTGATGTCATATACCACGTTATTTCTATTGCATTAATTACCAAGTAGATACAATGTGCTTTTTGGAATGAGGACTGCTAAAGTCTACCTCAAGAGTCATTAGTGTCCCTTAAGGAAATCAATATCCATCCAGTGGTCTTTATCTACCACTGACCTCTTGGGTTTCACAATCTACTGGGCTCTAATGACAGACAGGAAAATCTCATTCTCCCAGCCAGCCTCAGGGCGAGGCTCTCACAACATCAGTTCCCACTTGATGGCCTTCAAGGTCCTGCTTTGTGCCTCCAAGATGAGGCTTAATCACTGCAGCCTGGAATATAGACCCTTCCCCCGCTGTCATAGACCTGGTCTCCACTGACTGTGCTGCAGATCTAGGCCTTTCGCTCTTCACTCACACTGTTTATACTTCACTATGGGAGCCTTTCTCTCTTCTTTCTTCAAGGACAGTGGGGAGAGGGAGCAAGCAGAAGGAAACAAACCTATTTTCCAAATAAGCTAGCAGCCCCATTTAAACTTTAAGACATTCCAAATTCTAGGCTTTTGCCAATGGGTTTACTTTTTGAAGTCTTCTGATCTTGCATCAGTCATTTTACCCACTAATCATCAAAGGGTATACCTGTCTTAGATTACAAGTAAAGTGAACTCAAATGCATCCATACTTCACTGGATTGTCTACTGGCCTCTCAGCTTCTGCCAAGGCCAAAGTGGAAAACACCAGGAAGCCCAGAGGCACCACAGACACAGGTAGATACAAAAGATGCAGAAAGGTCCTCCAGAGTTTTGGAAGCTGTGGACATATCACAGGGTTGGTGGTGGGATAAACAAGAGAAGGACACATATTGTGTTACTGTAAGGAAAGAATTTAGGAACCTCCCCGCATGAAGATGGGCATATCCATTGTAGCCTCCCAGCAGAGAGGCGAGCTCACCCTGGGATTACCCTGGCAAGGCCAAGATCATTTAAGAAAAGTTCTCTTCTCATTCTCCTTTGAGCAATGAAGTAAGAGTGGTGCCCTCTTTGTGACATTCAACTCTGCTGCCCATTAGCACCTGGAGCCTGGTAAAAACTAGCCAGATCCAAGTGCTTAAAAGACCAGGCAAGTGGAAGATCAATTCCCACATAAAGCAACCCTGTGACAGACCTCACAAGTCTAATCCCACATGCACCACTGCTCTTCTGCTCCCAAAGGCAGTAGAATCACTTTCACTCTTACCTTCAAAACACAAACAATTTCTGAATCTTTATCTATCCATAGAGTGTTCATTCATATCGCTTCCTTTGAGGACCAATGAGATCCCAAGTTCTGAATTATTTTCAGAATAATTGAAAATAACAAACACTAAAGTACAGGTCTTGGTATCCAAAGCTAAGGAGGCACAGAAGCTTGAGGCAACCCTAAGAGGTACATCGTGATCAAAAGTTACTGTATAGACACCGACCACCACATGGCCTTCCAGAGAACACGAGGCTTTGCACCACCGTTTCCTGAGATGAGAGGTGTAAGTATGTGCGTGCATGGGTGTGTGTTCGTGTGTGTGCACACATGTGAAAAGTAGGGAGAGTGCAGGGTTAAGCTTTGATCAGCACAGCTCAACAGCCTAAGCAGTGAGTCTGCCTATTGATGACTAGTAACTCCGTGCAGCCACCATGCACACACCCTTGGCTTCCCACAGGACTACACAGTACTCCAGACTACTTTGGAGTAACAGAATGCTCCCTTGCCTGATGTATTCAACATGGTTGACTGAATTCAGTGGTTTATACAATGTCCACAAATATTTTTGTAAGCTGTAGCATAATCTGTAGAAGTGATGCTCAGATTAAAACATTTACTTAGCAGGAGTTTACAAAGTTATTGAATCTATCCAGTTAAGTGGCACACACATACATACTGAGAGCAAAATATTCATATACACTGCAGCCTACCCTGTACTCTATTCCCAGGCTACACAATGGAGTGTCAGGTAAGTAATTATAGAACCACAGAAAGGTTAAAAAAAAGGGGGGAGGGTATTTTGGTTAAAGACGCTGTGACTGTGAAGTATGATACATTCATCTATTGTGTGTTATAATCAAGGCAGTAATTTATTTCAAAGTCATTTAGAATGCATAGATATTCTACAGAAAAGCATCCAAAACATGAAGAAGAAGATCAGAAGGGAAACTATAATTTCATAGGAACTACTGCCAGAACTAAAACTTTAACAATAGCAAGAGGTTGCAATGACACCATTCTGAGTCTTAAAAAACTCAGGCTTGAGGAAGTGGGAGGGGTGATAGGAAAGGATGGATATGCAGTTTCCTTGGAAACTAAATGATATTATTGTAGCAATAAGCCTCAGGAATCATTGTTTAGAGGGTGGAAATACACTCATCTGCTTAAAACTGGACAAGGGTAATTTAGAACCTAAATAATTGTGATCTCTAGGAGAATCCTCAGGGAACCCTAAAGACCACCATAGAATGGAGGTGCCATGCACAAGCTCATAAATCTGCAGAGGAACATGAGAAAGGCCCCCCATGAGGTTGCAGAAAGCAAAAAAACCACCAAAATGAGTTACATGTACAATTTCCAGGGCATGGATATAAATAGGCACCACCAGGCAGCTCACTCTCCCTCCCTCTTTGGTCCTTTCTCATGGCCTTAAGAAAACTCTTACTCCCAGATTAGTGTGTTTGCTGGGAGACTATTGCAATTTAGGTTGGAACAGCCCCCAATGGCTGAAGGGTTCAGATGGGGCGTGGGAAGGTGACTGGATCAAGGGCTACACGTACAGTGGAGCAGTCCTCATAGCTGAATGTGCTCTTGGGAGGGGAGGCCTGGTTGGGGACACAAGGGATGTGACATTGAAGTGTACATTCTTATCCCTGGCTCTTCTGCTCCTGCTCTGCTTTCCAGATGCCACAGGATGAGCAGTTGCCCTCTGCCGGGGCCCTTTTTAACATGCTGCCCTACAATCTTGTCTCCACCTCAGAGGCAGTTAAGCATGGATTGAAAATGTGAGCCAAAGTAAACCTCTGCTTCTTTGGTTGTTGGGTATCTTGTCACAAGGACAAGAAAGTGGCTAAGACAGAGACCTCTTTGATTTCCCTAGCCCAGCTCTATCACTGACTAGCCCTCTGAGCTTGACACCCACTTATCTTCCAGGATCTCACCAAGGAAACACACACACACACACACACACACACATTCCTCTTTCCTATCAGGATCGCAGAGAGAATTAAATAAAACAAGAAAAGCCTTCAGAATACTGCTTGGCTCATGGGGGAGGCACCTGTGTTGTCCTTTCTCTCCCCAGTGGTCAACGTGTGTATTGTGACCTGGAGGCTTCTTTCTCCCTAGGACAATCCAAATGAATAAGGAAGTGGAGTTAAAATCAACGGCAGAAGGTCTTTATAGAGAAACTTGCAAGTGTGGCACCTGGTCAAGTCAGACTGGGGATGTGTGGGCCTCGCTGCCACTCAGACACGTGAGAACAACTGTCCTAATGATATGAAGGCACAGGACAGCAAAGGAAGAGGGTCCTGTGTCAGAATAAGGGCCTGCTTGAATCAGGAAAGCCTGAAGGAGAACAGAGTATGAGAGTATTTCTCCTTAAGGGCCGGGACCATGTCTGCTCTGGTCCATCTCTATGACCCTAGTGCCAACACAATGCCTGGAACATGGTATGTGCTCCACAAAGGTCCTGCGGAAGGAATGCTAAGGGCAGCAGAGCGAGCCCAGAGCTGTGGGCAAAGCCATCCAGGTAGGGATCACGAACAAGGTGCAGGGCTCAGAGCAAACACACAAATAACTATGGGCAAAGCAAACCATGCTTTTCTTCCTTCAAGAATCCATGATATGTTCATACACACATTTTTGATATATTTCCTGAGTATCTACCTACTTTTTCCCAAAAATGTGCTTCAGAATAAAACAAAGAAAAGCTCTTGCTGCATGGAGCTTCCATTCTAGAGACATTCAGTTCAGTGACATTAGACAGCATCGGTGTCATCTCCCCCACAAGTTTGTCAGCTTTTCCCTGTCCTGGTCACCCTGGACTCCTCCGTGCTGCCCAGAGCGCCTTTGATACACAGGAAAAGCACAGTGAACATACTTTGGAATGTATTCAAAAAGTCAGAAGCAGAGAACAACACTGGCTTGGAGTAAGAAGTTGTGCACTCCTGATTTGGGTCTCAGCTTTGACACTCCCTGTAACCTTGGGCAAGTTGCTTTTCCTCTCAGATCCTCGGTTTCCTCATCTGTAAACTGGAGGTAGTGGTTTGGAGTTCACAGGGAGCATTAAAAGAGGTGCGGCCTTTAAAGCACTCAGCACAGAAGAGGTCATGGGTGGTCACTAAGTACCTGTTGTTCTCAAGACCACAATCACTATTATTCCTCATCAAAGACAGAAACACAGACGGCCATGTTCAGTACGACAGTGGGGGGGGGGGGGGTAAGAGCAAATATTCACCTGTGAAACACTTAACTCCAAATTAGTCAGTTCAGAACGCAAGGATGTTCCTTACTGACTATTGTGTCAAAGGCGCCCCCCACACTCAGACCAGCAGTCTACTCTGTACGATAGCGCATGCGTTGGTCAGCCACCCACCTCCTCTAGAGGGCGCCTGACTCCAAGCCTGTCCCTAACTGTGTCAGTTCCTACCAGTGGTCCTCACTATGGTTTGCTCCTCGTGACCATTCTAAAAAAGTCAATGTTGACTGTTACTTCCGTTTTTATTCCTGGGCAGTTTTTAAAGATTTAGACTCCTCTAGGATGTCTGTACGTTTCTTCACTCAGATTTGGTGACTAGGATGAGCTCACTTACCTACCCTGAGCAGAACGCATACCTCTGTTGGAGATACCTTTGGTTCACAAAAGGCGTGATCAGAAAGTTAACCACTACCAAAAAACTCTAAAAACAAGACAATTATAGAAGAGTATACATAAGTAATTATTAAGGTAAGTTACTTGAATGGGTACACAGAGAGAAAAGTGGCAAAAACAAGAAAGTAATACATAAATCAGTAGGTGTTTTACATGAAAGTATAAGTAATACCACATATATGTGTACACGTGTGTACATATTGCCATGAACTGAAGTTTCATAATCTATATAATATATTCAATAACATATATGTACATATGTAGTCATTACTTTTCCCATCCAAACATATATATAAAACATGTGCCTTCAACAAGATATTTAATATATATTTCAATAACATGTATGAATATATATATATATATATACACACACATATATTCATGCATGAAGTTATCCCTGAGTATGCACAGGTGGATACAGTAACCGGAAATTGGTTCCAGGACCTCACACAGACAATAAAACTCAGGAATGCTCAAAGTTCGTATATAAAATGATGTATTATTTGTATATAACCTATGCACCTCCTCCCATATATTTAAAATCATCTCCAGATGATGTTAATAATAACAAACACAATATAAATAGTATGTAAACAGCTGTCTTGATTTGTTGTCAAAACACAAGAACATATTGTTAGTGCATGTTCAATATAGACCCATTTAAAAAAACATTTTGGCTTCACAGTTGGTGGAATCAATGGATGCAGAACTCACAGATAGGGAGAGCTGATTGTACGACATTGTTTCACCGCCGCCACCAAAAAGCCGCTTCTAAAGTCAAATGCAGACATCAACAACAAAAAAGAGGACAATAGGGCTGAGGATTTAGCTCAGCAGCACAGCGCCTGCCTGGCAAGCGGGAGGTTGTGAGTTCGATTCCCGGTACCAGAAGAAAACCAAAAAAAAAAAGAGGACAGTAAGAGGTGAGGTTTTGTAATGTAGACAATTTTAAGTAGATAATAATGTAATGACATACCAAAGAATGAAATAAATGGAGAAATGTGGTTAAAATTATACAACATCTTCTCTAGATGAGTCCACAAAGAGTGAAAAGCTCCTAGATTCTCATTCTGTTAGCACAAGATTTGCAACAACCACTCCTTCATTGTCATTCCTTTCTATTCTTCACTGAACAGACGCCCCCAAAAGAACTGCGTTCTACACAGCGGCATCTGCAAACTCCATAACAGTCCTGACGCCTAGCCTTAGACACCACAGCCATAAATACATACTCTATTTCTCAAATGACAATTTTGCACATAGTAAAATAAGTGGTAAGTCAAAATTCAAATGACTAAAGTTGTTTTAGGTAATTCATAGGTTATAAAAAATAATGAGAAGTGAAAAAACTTATGAGGGTATTACAACACGCTCATTAAAATGAAAATCTATGTTACAACTTTATGTTCTTCAAATACCATACCAGACTGAAGGATCAACCAATATATCAATTTTCTATTCCTCAAAAAAAGCACTTTATGTGGTGTGAAAGCCTTATTTATTAATTTTAAGAAATACCTACTCTTTTAAACTAGAATCATCTCCAGTTTATATGACTATCAAACTTATTTTTAATCAGCAATTCATTTCAGTACCTAAAATGAAACCAATTGCAGAAGACCAATATATACTACACTCACACGTATGCACCTGCATAAACTGTACCCCGCCACACATATTTTAAGTGCAAGAGGGTAATCTAAAAGCAGAGAGATAATTATATCTCCAAAAAGGAAAGCAACTCTTGTAAAGTCACCATTATGAACAGTTTTACAACTAGCACTAAAAGATCTAGCACGTGCGTGAGAAATGATCATGCAATAAACTCAATCAGTCAGATATTAGTTTCATGGTGCAGAGAAGACTAAGTCTAGACTCATCTCCAAAAGAAAATGACCTTGGTCTTAGTCTGTTATTTTCTTTTCAGGGTAGCTGGAGAGCGCACAGTAGACATTCCGCATTTGGGTTTTGATTGGACAAGTGATTGCTGATAATCAGATGGCATGATTTACCTTTTGAAAGCCATGGAACAATTTCTAGAGAACACCAATAATGTAAATGATGACTAGAGCTCCCTATAGTGTAAATGCTTATTTCATTCAGTCTTCAAACCCTGGGTACAGAGAAAACAAATAGAGTAAGTTTGATACTGGACTCTCAATTTTTTATCAGCAGGGTTTGCTGCTAACGTAGGGTGATATTGGCCACATCAAATGAGAGATTCAGTGACCCTTCCAGGCATAAGAAATAGGCATTCTAATTCAAATTTCTGAGTGTTCGTGTCCTGCCATAGCATTAAAATAATCATGCAAATCTGCCTCCAGCTGGTCTCTGATTTGCATTCACTTTATCTGTTCAAAATGATTTATACATACTTGTACTCAATTCTAAATTCTAATCTTAACATTCAGAATTAGAAGAAGAGACATTTAAAATATTTGGACTAAATTTACAATATTAATAGGTAACAATTATTAACATTATAAGTGTGTGCCTAACACTAACCCTGGTTAATAAGCAAACATCCTACATGTGTGTTCTTTACAGAATAGAGTACTAACTGTATTTTTATGCTAATGTAAAGAAAAACCTGCTAACCCATGTGGCTATTACTTCCCTAACACTTGAACGGTACATAAAATAGAGCACATTGACTAAACACAAGAAGACAAAGAATATCATAACTAATCCTATGCCACTGAGAGAATAGAATACTCCCTATTCTACAGTTCTATTTAACTTTAGTGACTTGCTTAAAAATAATGGGAAAATTTACACTGTGGAAGCCCATAATGAGTTGAAGATCATTCAAGCAGAACAAAGAGCCATTAGCAGGTTGCCCACACTTTTGTAGAAGTAAAATATAAGCAACTAGAACTTTGCTTCCAGAAAAGCCACACTGGATTAGAGGAGCCAGCTTCTGGAGTCCACTCCTAGGAAAACCACCCATGCCTGCATAAATTTAGGCTTAAAGCTCAGTCAGTACTAACAATAACAACAATAATAATAGTTACTGTATTTTTAATATATAAAATAGAAATTATCTTTATTTTTTAAATGAGAAAACTTTAACTCTGAGAAGCAACTTGTCTACCATCATGCAACTGATACACAGCAAAGGCAAATTTAAACCCCAGAGTTACTAACAACACATGTATTCAACAAATACTCTCTGAACACCTACTATACGTTAGATACTTTTCTGGATACTGGGGAGCTATAACGAATAAAATCCAGCCCCTGGGCTCAATGAACTTGCATGAGTGTGGCTCTTAGCACTTTATAAATAACAAAACAATAAAATAAACCAAATGATCATGTGATAAAATGTATAATGACAAAAAAGAGCAAAACAAAAAATAAAATGTGAAACTAACAGAGGAGGGATTCCAGTTTTTTACAAGCTAGGCTTGAAATGATTCTCTAATAAGAAAATTGGTCACACTGGAAGAAAAGTGAGAGAACTATATAAATAAGTAATTTTTAAAAATTCTTTAGGCAGAGAAAACAAGGGAAGCAGGCCAGAGGAAAGAGCAAACTTGGCCAAAGGAGAAAAAGTAAGGAGGAAATTCTGGCTACAGCAGAGGAATGCAGGACAAACGGGTCAGAGGTAAGGATGAGGACATCATCTCACCATGGGCTTTGTAGGACATGGGAGAGTCTTTGGCTTGGGATCCGAGACACAAAAGTTCTGAGTAAAGATGCAAAGGACCTGAGTTGTGCTGTGAAAGGATCAGGATGATTAACATGTTGTGAAAGATTTAAAGAATAGATGCAAAAGTTGGTGGACCAGCGAGGAGAACGAGAAATCATACAAGCAGCAATGGTGGTAGCTCAGACCAGGATGGTAAAACTAAAGGTAGTGGAAATCCAGGGCTTGTGATTATATTGTGAAGAATTTGTTACATGTGTATGTGAGGGGTACAAACAGAAAGCAGGCGAGAATGACCTCAAGGAGTTTTACCTTAGGAAAGGAGGCCACTGGCTGAGAAGTAACCCGAAGGAAACCTATCAGGCCTAATTTGATGTAATAAATTAAAGCCACAAAGAGGCAAGAAATTCATTCAGGTCCAAAGGCCTCACGTCTGGGCAAGGACGGCTATGACTTGCAACTTGAGTGTGGTTGCTTCCTTTCTCACTGTACCATTAGGGCTCCCGAGCTGGTTCAACATTGGCTGAATTTTTCAAATTTTTCTTCCAGGACTCAAAGACAGAACATTTTCCTGAGAAATGACTCCTACCCTTGGGTCGAGTGAAGCCCTGTTACATCCATCTCCAACATCCAGTACAAGACCTCTCTTTCTCAAATGGCTTTCCCTGGTGGGGAAGCCATATATTTTTCTACTTCTTTACACTGTTTATTCTCCTGTGTAGTTTAGTTTCTTTAATTAATGTTTAATCTTCTTGTGTTTATGCCTCAAGGCAGAGCCTATGAAGGGCGCTGAGTTCAAAATCATAGCCTCATGATACTCCATAGGCTTCACATTAAATAGCCATGACAGTTCAAAGGAAAGACCAAAATCCTGCTCTCTGCTCAGACTACTGGGGATACAGGGCTAGTCTGTGCAGACCCTGGCTTCTAAATCCATCATTTTCTTTTTATTCTCCAACAGTTCTACAGCTAGATGACTGTTTCTGCTCCCTCTTTCCCAGGGAGGGACTGCATTCTGCGAGAAAATGGCTCCGTCACTCAAGAGTGATGAAATCAGTAGAGCAAAGGCTGGGCTAGAAATGATTACTTAGTGCCCGTGAGGAGACGCCAGTGGAGACTCCATACATAAGGACCTGAAAGGAAAGGAAAGGAGACTTTCTGCTGCTTACAGTATCTGAGGGAATCATCTGACAGCTTATTTATTAAATGCATTTCAATATTAATTCTCCTCTGTGCCAGAGCTGACCTTCAAAAATATTTACAGGGAGAAAGCAGGCATGGGAAGAAAACAGCACTTCAGCCCATTTTCTCCTGTACAGTTACATATGAAATCAGTTAAAATTAAATACTAGGCTAGGTAGCTGATCTTGTAAGATAGAGCCTAAATTAGATATCAAGATAAATTAGTACCCAATTAATTGAGATCCAAATTGTTTGTCTCTCTGTATACTTTGGAGAAGAATAGATCACAGGACCGTACAACAGCATAAAGAAGTGTTCAGCTCTTTCTCAAACCGGTTCTGAGTCTAAAATGTATTTTATCTTCTCAGTCCCATGAAATCATAGCTTCCTGATGAGAGCTGGTCTCCAGCCAGGCACCTAGTAAACGTACAATTACATGTAATATCCTATATGCACTCAGTCAAAGCTCGGGCTAAAGAAGCTCTCCCAAAGAGAAGAGTTTTTGTTTTTGTTTTTATAAATTTGTGGTAAATACTCAGAATACAAAAGTTACCATCTTAACCATTTTTAAGTGTACAGCTCAGTGGTGTTAAATACATTCATGTCACTGGGCAACCATCACCGCCTTCTACCTCCAGAACCCTGCTCACCTTGCAAAACTGGAATTCCATTCCCATTAGACAGTACCATCCCATTCTAAACCATGTAATTCCTAAGCAGGACATTTCGGTACCTGGAGATTTCTATTCTTTAAAGATATTATTGAAGTTTTATTCTTACATAGGAAAAAATTAGGACTAACTTCTCTGATGAGTTCACTTCACAATTAAACCTGGTTCGTGCATTACACCTAGGTAACTGTTATGTTGTTCCAGAAAGTCATGTTTAATCCTCACATAGCAATGCTGATGGGTGACCAGTCAATGAAGATAGCCTGCTATGAATGAGAAGTGGTAGGCAAAACTCTTTCATTAGTGGTTCTCTCAATCGGTTTTTACCATGACTTAGGATTAGAGCTGTTTCCCTGAGGATCGAGAAGACAAATACCCATGAAACCACATTTAAACTCTTTAAGGCACAAGGAGAAATGACTAGCCAAATATTTTTAATAAAAAAGTGACTGTGGTGTTCCAGAAATGTATCATAAGTCAAACTAAACCCTGACAGCACAATAGCTAACCAGCAGCAACCCTGAGACAGGTGGGTGGCGGGCTCTGGTCCTTATCCAGCAGCAAGCCTGCAAGAGGGCATGGGTGTTCTCTGGAGCATCTGCAGAAGATGAAGCTCTGTGTCAGTCTTTCTTGGTTTGGAGTCATTAGCTCTAGGGAGTGAGGATATTAGAAAACCTTTCAAGCCACAAACCACACATCTTAGGGAGATAGCTAATTAGAATTCACCCTAAACTGTGAAAGAATTAACAGACATTAAATAACCATTATTTATAATTGAAGCATCAAGTTACCCAAAAGAAAAAAAAAAAAAAGGGCAAAGCTCAGATTGCCTTGGTTAATGTTTAATTTAGAAAAATAAAAGAGTATGTAGTTCCCCAAATGACCAGTAACTTATGTTCCCAAAATTAGTAGCTTACAGACTATGTTTCTGAAATAGCAACACTAACACTATGATTAGAGCATTCATTCTTAAAGGAGTGCACATTTTACCCATATGTAGCCCAAGTAGAGCATATCTGGCCTGGCCTAAGTTCTGCAAGAATGGCCAAAGCAGAGTGGAGCTTACGAGAAAGAAAGATCTCTTCCTCCTTTTCATGGCAAAGCATTGACTTAGGAGTCTTTTCTTTTCTCTGAAGAAAAGCTGTGATTTCTTTTCCCTATTTTGTACTTCTCTCTCATCTTCTGGTACTTCTCTGCTAAGGATAGGGCACCTTCACATTGTCTTAATTTCATTTTTTCCCAACTGAGTTTCCACCATGGTCCAGGCCATCCCCAAAGTTCTATCTTAATGACAGCTGACTTCAGGGGATTCAAAGCAAATGGACGAAGCCAAGATATGGATGAAACAAGAGGTCATGTTCTCTGTGCTCCTCTAAAATAATAGCTCTGCAACACTTAGCCTCAAAAGGTGAAAAAATTATAAATAAAAATATGAAGACAGATCCTATCCAAAGGGCTAAAATGGTAAATACAATGAGATTATGCAGTGTAAAGGAGTCTAAAAAAAAGCACTCCCCAAAACCTCTTCCAGAGATGGCATAAACTGATTAGTCTCTTTGGAGACACTCTGATTATACATGTCCAGTCTTGAAATAATTTTTCAGTACAACACTGACCACTGACTACTAAGAACTGTATAAAGGAAGTACTCTGATAAAAAATGTGCATAAAGATGAATGGGTGCAAGTGTTTAAAATGTTATTTGCAATAGCTGGGGATGTAGCTCAGTGGCACAGTTCCTGCCTGGCAAGCACAAGGTCTTGAGTTTGATTCCTGGTACCAAGAAAAAAATGTTATTTGTATAAAAAAATCAGAAATATAAATATCCAAGAAGTGCAGATTATTATATAAACAATGGAACTCCCCTCTAATGGAATATGCAGGTACTATTAAATAGCATATTACAGAAAAATATTTATCTTCGTAGCTTGTGGTAAGTGAAAAAAATCATATACATGATTATATCATATATAATTTTATCATATATGTATAAAAATAAATAAAATACTAGAAAGATATTTGCAAAAGTGAGAAGAATGATTAACTCTGGGTTTTTCCTCCTTTGTGATTTTTTGTGTCTTTTAGGACTTCTGTACTAGCTTCTAAGTTAACCAGAACATTCTATAATTGCTTAGAATAGCTATTTTTAAAATTTAAAATTTAATACACAACACTAAAAGCAACAAGATCATAATAGCTCCACTAAAGAAATTCCAAGCGAGGGGAAGAGATAGAAGCTGTCACTTGCAAGCAGGCAGAGTTTGTAAGTCTGAATTGTAGCCTGCCTCTAGATGGTATTATTTGGGATAACATTACCCAAAACACACAGACACACATATACACACACACACACACACACACACACATGCACACACACACTAACCTCAACAAATAATGGATTAAGAATGAACCAAAGGCTGGGCGTGGTGGTGCACACCTGTAATCCCAGCACTTGGGAGGCTAAGGCAGGAGGATCATTGTGAGTTCAAGACCAGCCCGAACTGCATGGCGAGACTCTGTCTCAAAAAGACAAAACAAAAAAAAGAAAAAGAATGAACCGAAGAAATACAAAATTCATGAAAATGCATCCCTACAGTTCTGTCTTCCTACTTTTCCCAAAATATTTGTCTATTTGCTGTACTGCAAGAAATGCTGTGCATCTTATTGCCTTGGAACACTTAAAACCATGTAAACTGTTCTTAGGGAATGTTAAAAATTCATATCATTTACCCCTGAGAGACCACGGCAACATCCCTCCATCTCTCCAGATCGCACTAGACTATTCTGTGAGTCGAGGATTTTAATTTCTAACATGCAGCAGCAAAGCTCTATGCTCAGATCAATAAAAGGAAATGAGCCACTGTGGTTTGTCTGCTTTCAGCTATACACCCCCCCATACTTAGTCACAGCCTGGAGTGTATCAAAACTCCATTTGTAAATTAAACTAGCTTCTCTGATAGAAGAACACAGCTAAATTATGTGCAGTGCAAACCACACTCGTGGCTTGTTCTCAGAACCACAGATCTCTCTTTCTATGCCAGATTCCTGGCCAGCAAACAGATAAATAAGCCAGTAATAAACAGGGTTTTACAGAACCCAAAGCTTTATGTAGATTTTTTAAATAATTTCTTTTTAAAACTTTTTGTTCCCTCTCTCCAGCAACACAATTTATTACTACTTTCTGGACAAAAAAAAAAGGGTTGGGGATTGATGTCCACATTTTTTAAATCAAACATATTTTTGTTGCGGTGACACAAAACCAGCCTCGGCATTGACTAACATTTTAATTTCTCCTTCCTAATTTTTTACTCCTATTATTTTTGAAGTTACAATAGCAAATTCCTGAGTAGGCAATGCCCAATTACTATGGGCTTGATGTAATTATACAGTTTGAATACTGTTGTGTAAACAGCGCCGATGGATTAATTTTTTAATCCATCTGAATTGAGAATTGCATAACAAATCAAATGATCATGGGGCTCAGAAAACCTAGCCAATATGGAACCGAAGCTCAGGAGCCCTAAACAAAGAAATGCTCTCAAAGGACTACATGAAAGGCACACAAAATAGAAACAGATATTTTCAAACTCAGAATTATTCTTCTTTCTTATGCCACTGTTATAATCTCCTTTAACAGCCACCATCTGTTAAGAGTACTCTATACCGGATGTCACCTTGCTTCACAAGTTTCCTTTAGTTGGGTGGTCACACACTCTTTGGCCTGGAGAGTGACCTATCTGAGCTGTGTGTCACAAGTAGCCCCGCTCCTCCTTGGAGCAGGTTGCCCCCTACAGCCACATTTGCTGTCAGCACTGCCACAACATCAGCCAATTAGCGTACCAGTGAATGCAGATGGGTGAGTCTGGGGCACAGCACCAGGAAACCCACTTACCCACAGATAGAAGCCACACACTGCAACCTAGAAATGGTGACATTTCGGTTCTCCATCTGCTCTTATTGCTGTGCTGGATAGGAGGGTGAGAGTTTCTCCAAGACCCTAACAACTTCAACATTATGCCACAAACCTCAACAATATGTGAAACTGGCAAAGGACAGTGGGAGGGACTAAAGCTACGGGAGGGAGGCTTTGGGCTCTGGCACACTATACTAAGCGAGCATCTTAACAGTTTTTAACTTTGGCAGTTTACAAGCTTGTCCTGGTCATGGGACTCGTTTTTATAGTCAGCAACTACCTTTTAACTGTTATGGCAACATGAGGTAAATGAGCTCTGGACAGATGAATTGAGTACATTGGCTTGAATATTCACAGCAATCCTGAAATATAAAGGTTATTGTATTTCATCAAGTCTAAAATGCCACTGGGTGTAAGAAGTACGTTATTGTATGTACCCCAAGGAAAGAAAAAATACTACTAATGAAACTCTTGCTATTCACTGCAAGACACATTCAACCTTTAAAGATGTTAAAATATGAAGGAATAAACTGAGTCTTACAGTTTGTCGGGTATGGTACTGTCTTGAATTTTCATCCGAGGAAAGTGAGGCTCAAAAAAAGTAACTTATCCAAGAACACACACACAGAGAAACTGGCGAGGTCTTGAGATCTCATCTGGATCCCAAGGGTGCATCCTCCCACCTCCTAGAGTTCCCTAGGAGGCTTTGGGGAAGTGATCTATTGCAAGCACCAAACATTATGTACTTATTGATCACTGGATTCAGGGCTGTGCAAATCTCTCTGGAGACTCAGAAGAGGTGAGGCCAGGGTTCTTTCCTTCAAAGAACTTTGCAGCCATTCTATGATGCTATAAACATACCTAAGACTTGGATAACAAGTTTTAAAAGCATAGAATGAAGTGTTGTAATGTGGAGCCTAGACTAAAACACTATAGGCCTAAACAGTAGACGGGAATCAGTTTTGACGTCATCAAAGAAGGCTTCATTAAAGAGAAAAAACAATGAGAAGTAAAGAAGGCACCTAAGTGACGGCTTACGGCTTTGTGGCCCAAGGAAAGAATTAAGAATAATAAGTAGCACTGAGAAGTCTTCTGCTAGACTCCTCTCAGCTCTTCAGAACTCGGCACATGCGCTCCTGCCTCTGGGTCTAATCCCTTGCTGTTGCCCCTGCTGGGCAACACCTTGTCCAGACCTGGATCCAGTTATCTCCTCTGTGCTCGACACCACCTTCAAGACCACGTCCGCTGTGGAGTTCTATGCTGGGCACTCCTGCTCAGTGTTCCCGTAACACGCACCACTCTTCTGCTCCATAACTATTTGTCATCATTTACTGTTCATACTTATACATCCATTGGCCTGCCTATTCCACTGTTGCAGGAACTGTTCTGTTCTGTACCACTCTGCCTCCAGAGCTAACACATGACAGGAGCCCAGTAAGTTGGCTTGTAACAAGCATGGCTGCATATTCACAAGCCTTATCTTATTTAATCTTCAGTAGGACAAACTAAGTACTTCTCCCATTATTTGAAGTGAAGATACTGAGGCTTACAGAAGTTAATTAATGTATCCATATCCCAAAGCACACAAGGCAAAACTCCAGCCAGGTGTGCCCCACAACAACTCCTCCTTGCTAACTATTAGTTAGACCCTCCTGCTTATAGACAAAGATATTGAAGCAGGGATAGAATGGCTTTGTATGGTGCAAGAGGTTCACCTGGCTACTACAGACACTGGGCATGCAACAGACTGAAATTAAGCACTCACTGAGTGCCTGCCATGTGCCAGGCACAGGCCAACCATCTGCATGGGTTATCCTATGGTTCTCACAATCACTCCTGGTGTGGATTTATTAGCTCTACTTCATAGTGGGGAAATAAAGACACCAAGTAGCAAGACCACTCCCATGGCTGGTAAACAGCAAAGCCACTGGGGTGAGTCATAAGTTTGGGAACTACATGCTCACAATGACTTTTGGAAGACTTGGGAGCACACTTTTTAAAAAAATTTTTCCCCTGGCCGTACTCCCTAGTCTGAGTGTTGTATGTGGGCAATTGGCAATGATCAATGTCAATTTCCAGTAAGTTTTTCTTACCAACCCTGATCTACAGAGAATTTTTTTAACCAAAGCCTTATAATATTTAACTGAAA